TTGACTTTCTATATTTTGAACCTCTCATTGAATGAGGTTAACCTAATATTACACAACCAAAGATCAATCTTCCCAGCTTCTATCTATTAAAATTCTTTAAAAAAAAAAAATTATTTTGAACATTCATGATTGAAAGTTTTGTGCTCCTACCTGTGTTGGAGTTCTTCATGGGAGTTTACAACCAGAACTATCCACCAGTTAGGTGATCGGCACGGAATTATCAGTTGGTCGGTGATTGCTTAAGTTCTGTTGTTTTATTCTCTTCATTTTGATGGCAAGGCAAAAACCATTGCGACATACTTCCCATTGCTTTCAGGACTGGGGCTCCCCATCCATATAAAACACCAGATCTCGGGGGCTTTTTTTTTGTCAATATCGATAATCGTTCAGGGACAATCTGAGCACGTTCCTTGTAAAGTAAGCTGTTGTGAGCCCTTTAAAATTGTTCTCAGGCAGAGAACTCAATTATTTCCACACCAAAAAAAAAAAATGTGATATAACACAACATTAATAAATTCCAAACATCATTGTGCAAAGAAAACTTCCATTTTGACAGAGACTACAGTTTGATCCAGGTAATTGACTTTGAATGTTGACAGTCCTTTGCTCAGCCAAGTTAGAACAATAAAGCAATGGCAAGTCCAGATTTAGATATTGGTGCTCACACTAAGCCCCAAAGATGCAGACCATTCAACAACTCACATCCAGCAGGGGTGCTACCTTTTGGAAGATGCTACCGTGTTATATCAGCGATGACGTATAGCCTATAACTCTCCGATAAATCCAGCAGCTCATAATTCACAACAAATTTAAATGGCACAGTTTAGCCTTTGACTTTGAAAGTACCTCCTTGCCTTGTTGCGACAAATGAAAAGGCATTCTTAGCACAAGGCCAGATAGGCATAGGTGACAAACTACATGCCCATTTTGTTTAAAAACAATTATAAAAGGGCACTTTTTTAAGCTTAAATTTGAAAAATAGAAAAAACTAATGGACTAAGTCAGCAATCTTTCATAAACTATTAAATTCTACAGCTGACTTGGTGGCTTGTATGCCACCAACCACCATAAACGTCACGAAATTTATTGGATTGGGCCAAGTTTTCAGATAATTGTTTTACAACCCAAAATAGGATGGCCCATATGATGAGCGCCATAAATAACTGAACTGAGCATTTCAAATCACCAGTATATGCTCCATTTCCCCTTAAACAAAGCAAATTTTTTCCTGTACAGTGACATTGTTTCAAAGCCGTTGGAGTATAAATCAAACTTGCATTAGGCAATCTTTAATTTTGGACTCGAAGGCTGTCGAATCGTTTATTTCAAACTTATGTTGTAAAATAAACAAGTTAAAGGAAATAAAAAAAGCAAACTTACATCAAATTGAGAAGCCTCTCTTCAAGTACACACATGGCTTCATCAGGTTGGTGAAAACAGTAAAGGCTGGAACTTTCCTTGCTGCACCAAAAGAGGGACCAAGACAAATGGGGATCAGAAAAATAAATGGTGCAATAAAACAAACAAAAAAGAAAAAAATTATCTTGTTTGGAATGTCAAGGACATTCCTTATTTGGAATACATTTAATGTTCTTAAAGGAAATTCAATGGTTGAAAAAAACACCTTAAGATACCAGCCTTTCTTCCCCTGCAATTTCTCCGGAGAGTATTTTCCTGTTAAGCAGCATATTGCAAAGATTTGAAGAAAAATTTTATGTATTAGAACCTGACTCCTCTAAAAAGCATCATTATACTCAATCCAAACCTAAACCCTCACATTACAATCCAAATCCAAATATACTTTCCAGACAATCAGGAATCTGACATCAAGAAAACTGTCTGTATTCCAATGTAAACTATTGAAAGAAACTCCAAGTAGCTATTGATACCAAGTATGGGCTGGTTGGTGCAACTTATATGAGCCGCTTATAGCTTTTTTATTTTGGGAGTTTGCCAAACTGTTTGGTATAGTTTCTACTAACCGGTTATGTTAGAATTTACCATAAACCTACCACCACTACCACCTCACCTACTCCACTAAACCTAACCCACTACACCACTACCACCTCCACTTCACCTACTCTCCACCTACTCCCAAACACACTCCTATATAATAGGAATCCTTGTAATTGTAATAAACACAACACAATATATCAATATATATCAATCAACTATCATTAATACAATCTCTATTTCTCTTTATACATTAAATTTAACAGGTTAATAAGCAGAAATAGCTTAAATAAACTGAAAGAAGCTGATTATTTGATAGCCAGGGGAGGGATGCTTTTCGCTTATGCTTTCTAATCTTCACTTCCATTCCACCGTCTCCGTACAGAAGCTCCGCCGCCTCAACACCCTCATTTTCGTTTTGGCTGCCAATGCCATAGTCGCTGTGTATTCATTGTTCGAAATGGGAGCTTCTGTTTGGGAGATTTCCAAGGCGTCACTTTGCTCCCTGAGATCCTTCAGGTCTGGTTCGACTACGGCCATGATCAGGTTTTCGCGTACCTGTTACTGTCGGCGAGCTCAGCGGGGACGGAGTTTGCTCGGACGCTGTGTACGGCCAGCAACGCGTTTTGCGTACAGTCCGACATATCCATCGACTTGGGATACGCCGGCTTTCTGTTTTGGGGGCTTTCCTCGCTGCTTTCGGGATTTCCGGGTCGTCTGTTTCATTATCAACGGAACTCGTTTTCATCTCTAGACAACTTCCTCGACGAATCGTTCGCCGGAACTGTAAATCTGAGTCCTGAAACCTCATTTCAATCAAGCCCTGTATATCTTCTTCGCCTCTCTCTTCATCCTCTCCGCTTGGCAAATGTTCAATGATTTTGGTACTGATGGTGGGCCTGCAGCAAAGGAATTAGCTCCCAAGTTAGCTGTTCTCCAGAAATTTCTGACGTCCAAGTTGGGGGAAAGTGCGTTGCAGCTTCTCTTTTTCTAAAAGGGTTTGGTGGCTTTCTTTTTTTTTTTTATATTTGGCAGTTCCCTTGGTGCTTACCTACTGCTGTACCACTTGGCATATACCACTTCCCGTTGTCTCCCACATGATCCCCCTTTCTTTTCTTTTCTTTTCTTTTCTTTATTCTCCACCCACACAACCCAACCCTCGACTCTCACTCACTTTTCTTTTTTTTTTCACACCCATCCACCGCCTAAATTTTATTTTTTATTATAAACCTTAATTGGTGTTCTATTTTATTCATTATTATATATTCATCATCACCATGCTTATCATTTCATCACCATCTCCATATTTTTTTATTATTCGATTCCCTTACTTTTTACAAAAAAAAAAAAACATTCATCATTCCACAAACTCATTTTATTCATGTCGGGACTCACCCCGATCACCATTTTACAACCAAAAAAAAAAAACAAAAAAAAAACAAAAAAAAAAAACACAAACAAAACAACCACACCCACAGTGGGATTTTTCTTTTCCCTTCTCTACTCTCCTGCAGGTCTCTTCTTCTTACTTTTATCTTGGGTGTCCCATGCCAGTCCGGTCTCCGTGCTTCCTAGTCCACCGAGCACGTTCACTCCCCCATACTCCTCTACTGCAGCATATGGCGGACCTCCAAATCGGAACATCACAGTGGCCTTCCGCTTCAGCTCCTTATTTTCCGCCTTTAGCACACTCATCTCTGCTCGCGCATCCTTATACATGCGTTGGAGCAGAGACAGCTGGGAGTTTAACTGCTGCACCTCATTTGTCCTGCTCTGCAGCCGGTGCGACAAGTTTGTGACCGCAGTCATGGTTTCCACACATGACTTCAGAGTATACTGATTGGCTTCAATATCAGTTTGCACCGCCATTTTTTGCTCCACCGACCGCATCGGAAAGTTCAACAGAGCAAAACCAGAGGTGTTTGGTTGAGGTTCACGGGCCACCGCACCAGTTATCTCTCTTGTTGACTCGTTGAGGTCGGGAAAGAGAGTGAGTAGACCACGGGATGAAGAGGCCATATTCTGGGTAGCTGAACGGGAAGAAGAGGCCATTGTTCAGATGTTTCAGAATGCAAATATTCAGATGTTTCAGAATAAAAATGTTCAGAGGTTTCAGACTGGTTTGCACAGCCTCTGCCTCAACCTTAGTTTAAATAGCCAGGGCCGATCCGCGCATCGCGCGCCACTTGCCGACAGACGACAAAACGGGCGCGCAAGCCAAGGCGCTCACGTGCCTCGCCATCATGTCCGGCACACCTTTTTATGGATTGGGCACGCCTTTTGATGGCACGCCTTTTGACAGATTGGGCACACCTTTTGAGGGTGCGACTTTTCCAACGGTCCGACATGACCCTATAAACTGTCCCGACATTTGATTCCGGTTAGCATCTCCAACGGTCCGATATGACCCCCTAAACTGTCCCGACATTGATTCCAATTAGCATACAGTGTCCTCTACAACGTTATGAGACCACCATCCAGTGTCCTCTACACCATTATGACACCACCATACAGTGTCCTCTACAACGTTATGATACCACCATCCAGTGTCCTCTACCACGTTATGACACCACCATACAGTGTCCTCTACCACGTTATGGCACCACCTTTCAGTGTCTTCATCAACGGTCTGACACGACCATGCAGTGTCTCCTATCTTTTTTTATTTTTATGTATTTTCTTGTTTTGTTCCTCTCTTCAAACTCAAGTTGGTTAGTTTCTATCCTCCTTGAGTTTGCGGGGGGCTGTTAGAATTTACCACTCACCTACTACCTCCACTATCTTTCTCCACACCTACCACCTCCACTATCACACACTCCACTACCATCTTCTCCTCTATATATAGGAATTGTAATATACAGAATATCAGCTTACAAAAAGTTGCACCTTACAGGCTCTATAAATCATAAATAAGCATTTTGTGTCATCATTGAAACTCGGATGTTGTTCAAGGCTTATGGTTTCACATGCTTAACCACACAATGCAGCGAGGTTAGAGAAGCTGAAACTAACACCATAACCCAAATAGTCAAGGATCTTGCAAAATATACTGGCATCATAGCAATTTAATGGGCTGTTCCATGCAATTGATTATGCTTGCTTCTACGCAAAATTCAGTATAAAGAAGAATGCATACATGCATGCAAATCTATGCAGCATGGAAATAGACACTGGACACGGATATAACATGATACGCACACACTAATACAAATAAATAAATAAATAAGGACACAACATGGCAGAGACAACAAGAAGTATTTATCTTTAAATTATATACAAGAAAATAATTATTTTTTCTTCATTATTCACAATACAAATAATACTATATCAAAATAGTATGAAATCATTTTGGGAAATAATTACGAACAAAAAGTCCTAATATCTACTTTAGAAAGCTTTCATAAACAAATTGAAAGTTTTTGAACTTTGAAATTCCTAAAATTAAGAATTTTGAAGAAGGGTGCACTCCTCCCTCCAAGGCCTCAGATTCGCAATCTCCTAGGTGAATACAATTTCTTGGAACCAGTCTATACAAGGCTTCGGTCCAGTGCGTCAGATACCAAGTTATCAAAAAAAATGAGGAAGGATTAATAAATATAATCTAGATTGTTTTCATTTTATCATTGGATCCCAAATTATTCTTCAAACTTGTACAATGTTTCGTGTGCATCTAAGCAATGGACACATATTTCCCCAAACAGATGTCCAGAGCATGTACAATTCTTAAAAAATTAAGAAACATTTGGACACTTGTTATGGAGTGTCCGACAAGTGTCGGTGCCCGAGAGGGACACGACACCTTAGAAGTGTAAATGCTTCTTAGATGTAGACTTACGAATCAGTAATCTTAACCTTCAGGTCAAGAGCTCAAGTCCCAACCAGCAGTTCCAATCTACCAAGTACGAGTGCAAAATATTAAGAAATCAACCAATGAAACAAGAAGAAAAATATATATTTATGATTTATGTTAAAGATTCTAGATATATTTTACTAGCTAAACTACAGCAATCCTCATTATTTACACAGAACTAGCTATACTGTTTAACTCCAATGTGTTAATATCATAGCTGAAAACACTGTATATCTTCATTTGACTAGTGAGTAGTGGCTTAACACATACTGGTTGGCAAAGCAAATGTAGTGTGTCACAACCAAATGCATAATCCTATATTGTTAATTACATAAGATAGATGTAGTGCCTAACACACAATTACACAAGTAATATATTGAAATTGAGACAAGCAGTTACCTAGGAGTCATAGAGATAGAGCACTAACCAAGAATTTCCATGTGATCATACCCAAGGGAAGTTATACCACATACAATTGGTTTTTGTACCTGAAAAGTAAGCGTAATAATGTCAAAGTCAGAGATATCCAGCCCAAATGCTATAATCTTCCAAGAAGATGAGCACATTGGATGAAGTCTATATTTATTTCCTAAAGCAAGTCATAGACAAATTGTTTTTCAAAACGAACAATTCTCAAGGCTCAAACTTACCACATTTGTCGCATCAAACTTTCCACCTAACCCAACCTCCAAGATAGCAACATCCACCTGCATCAAATATAGCATCCTTTGTGTGATCTCAGTTTATCAATTAGAATGAATCAAAGGACTGATAGAAGTAATGTTTTTTAATGCTATGTGATTCTTAAAGAGGAAAGAAAGAATGAGGAATAGTACGTGAGGCTCCATTGTGCGTTATGTGGTGCATTTGGAGAGAGGTATAATAGATTTTTTGAGGGGAAAGAATACTCAAATCTATGCTTTGAAAGGCATGGAGTTGGTGTCGTTATTCTTTGGGTTAAAAGAGTATTTTTTTTTTCTTTTTCATAAATATATTATTAAAAAGGAACCAAGGGGGCACCACACTGGAGGCTTTTCCATTTTCAGTGTACTCTCTTTAGATTATTTGGGAAGTTATTTATCCCCATTGACTTTTGGGAGTCTTTTGATTAATTGTTACTTTGTTAGTTCGCTTTTTATAATCGAAGTGTACATAATTGCACCCCTTTGATGCTTCTTTAATGGATGTCTCGCGTGCCTATTAGAAAAATTGCATGTGCCTACCTGTTCTGCAGCAAATATCTTGAAGGCAAGTAGGGCAAGGAAGCGAAAGTAAGTAGGCATCGGTATATCATCACTGGTTTTTTCCTGGATATGAACAAAAAGAACCACCAAAACAAAATGACCATATCAAAATAAGTACTTTAACCGATATATAGTAGCATATGCACTAGTATCCAATGTGTACAAGTAAGTGAATTCCCATGTCCAATTCATCATTTTGAACTATCAAGGGAGTAGGAGTAGGAGTTTGGAAAAATGCCCAAGCTACTGTGACAATGGCTTGGAATCATCCACCATTAGAAGGTCGGCTACTGACCATCAAATTTACCCGAGTGAAAAGAACACTGAGCTGCCTTTATGTTGATCAGGTTAGGAAGCCTCATCTCACTACTGGCAAGTGCAACTTAAATTTTGCCAGCTTTAGGTAAAACTTAAAAGATCAACAATTCCATGACAATTACAAATATATATATATATATACAAGTAGGAGTAGGAGTAGGAGTAGGAGTAGGAGTAGGAGTAGGAGTAGGAGTAGGAGTAGGAGTAGGAGTAGGAGTAGGAGTAGGAGTAGGAGTAGGAGTAGGAGTAGGAGTAGGAGTAGGAGTAGGAGTAGGAGTAGGCAAGGGAGTAGGAGTAGGAGTAGGAGTAGGAGTAGGAGTAGGAGTTTGGAAAAATGCCCAAGCTACTGTGACAATGGCTTGGAATCATCCACCATTGGAAGGTCAGCTACTGACCATCAAATTTACCCGAGTGAATATAATATAAACATGAATAGGATACCCAAAAACTCAGTAGACTGTCCAACAAATTGGATTTTCAATTTTTGCGTTGAATGCCAAATATGAAGCCAAGCAGCCAGCTTGACAACAGGTCACATTTTATGCATTTAAACTGTTGCTTGCAAGCTAGATTTTTGGGGCAAGTGCATAATACAATATTTTTTATAAAGAAAACTTTCCTCTTTTTTTTCTTTTTTCTTTTTTTGTTGATAAAAGAAAAATTTGACATCACATACGGACCACACTGCAAACATCTTAAGGAGTGTCGGAGGATGCATGTCAGAGTTGTTGTCAGACACACAAGGCTCCTCCTAAAAATAGTCCACGCTTCACAGACATGTAGCAAAATAGTTTATGTTCAATCTCCCTAAAAATACAACTTCGAACAGCTACAAAGATACCTATGTAGTCGTCTGTGTCTCATCTTTTCAATACAAGGAAAACAACAAATTCCCCTAGCTGACACCTAAAGATAATGTAAAGCCCTATAAAAACAAGAATTGTTGTCATTTTGATCCACATAAAACAGTACGTCTCATATAGATAAAACTTGTTCCAGATAGCATCTATAGAATAGTTCACATATACACTTCCTTCCTGACCATGGGCAAGCCTCCCATGGAGAACCAAATGTCTTCAAGCATGCCAAAACAAGAAGAAGCCATCATTAATCAGATTTGTCATCTTTACGGTGCAGTGATACCCTGTTATGGAAACTTTAACAAGCAGTCTATGGCATTGGCACCTAAACAACTGCTGTTGAAGATTCCTCCTATGATTTTATGCCCATTTCTGTAGCATGAAATCCTTAACCATCTTCTACTATTGCAAATATTTCAGCCCTCAAGGTGGCAGATCCTCGAGAACAACTCACCCCTTCACTAGAAACGACTTAAGTTTACCCCAATCCAAGCCACAGTCAAGGCGGCGTTCATTGAAATGTTAGGGAAGCCTAGCAAAACGCCTATCCTACCCTTGGCTAGGTCCATTCCACTGAGGCTTGATGATCATAAATACTCTTCTCTTCCTTGCTAAAGATATCGTATGTCCATATACCAAGATCAGGGAAAAAAATTCCATTCACATGCTTGTAGCCACAGTCTCAACTAGTTTGGACTCAACTTGCTCTGCCAAAGCTTCTACATCTCCTACGAACCCAACTAGTAAGAAAATCTTCTACCAAGATCTCCATTATGGAACTTTTGTCCACTTCACGAGTCCATCAGGCTGGCAAAAGCCAGACCCACAAGCAGCCCTAATTTCATTCTATTTGAGGATTTGCAAGCTATGGTGGGCAGTCTATTTTCTCCCCAATGAATTACCTTTACACAAAATGATTTGACTTCACATTCACTGTTAGCCTTTACTCAACCCCTGTATGTAGAGGCCTTCTTTGCAGACCACAACCAAATCAAGACAACCTTGATAGAAACTTGTGCAAAATTTAGTAAAAGCATATTGAGTTTAGGAAGTTGAATTTGG